GTTGACATTAATTTTATTCTAAAGCCAGGAGCACACCCCAACTCTGGCATCATCTCTACCCACAGCATGAATCCAGGTGATATCTGATACTGTATTTTAATAGCTTCAAGCCTCTGGAGGTAGGAAATGATTCATATGTCACAATTGTCAAATATGCCCATGCTTAAATTTACTAAAAGAGTCGAGGAGGACAAACAGCCAGTTTTGTAATTTTTTCACTATAAACTATTATAATATTAGGAAGTTTTTGTTGTTATTGATTTTCTCAAACTATGTCATCAAATTCCTTCATAGAAGTCTTATGAAGTGGCTCACAAGTTTACTTATTGAAACCATCTTTATTAGAACCACAATTATACTGGCTACTTTTAGCTAGATAAATTATAAGTACCTACATTTATATTCTCTTTTAATATCATATATGTCTTACTATATTTTGGCATACAACCAGTTTTCTTCATTTTCGATGATAAAGAGCTTCCGTATAAATTTGTCCTTCAACATACCTCTTATCCAAATAAATTTATTTCCTAAAATTCTCCCTAGAACGTATTACTTTATTATTTTTAATAAAAAAAATATAGTCCTTGATAAAGATTTTCCAGGAAATTGTCATATCTCTTTACAGTATGAGAAACACCTTCATTGTCTGTGGAAAATGGAAAATAACTATAGGAATCTTAATAAACATTAAATTAAATTCTTTTTTTTTTTTTTTTTTTGGTACCTGGGATTGAACTCAGGACCTTGCACTTGCCAGACAGGCACTTGTGCTACTGAGCTATATCCCCAGCCCCCGAAATTAAATTCTTACTAAATTTTCCAAAGCTTCTACTAGTGCAAATGAGCAGGAGGTGCAGACACTGGGTGGGGAGAAGAAAATTCTTGTTTTTCTTCTATTTCAAGGGAAAGGGGTCACTTCAATTATGTTTAAGTGCTTTCCCTGATTCTACCCTTGTCTGCTCAGGTTTCTTCTCCCCCACAGGCCTCACAGTGCTCCAAGAAAATACAACTAGATTGGTCCTATATTATAAAGTATAAGGAAAATCTACATCCCCATTCTGCATGACACATTTATTATCACCCAAAATAAAAGTCAAAGTCTTTAAAACTGTCTTCCAGGTTCTAAATACACACTATCTTATGTGGTAGCCATTAGCCATGCTTTCTATTGGACATCTACAATGTAACATGAACTAGGACTTGCTCTAAGAGTATTTTAATTCACAATAGCTTTAAAAAATTAATGCCAATGCAAAGAACAATTACCAAAAATTTTATATTGATATTGTGTTAGAATTACATTTCGGATATACTAATATGAGTAAAAAGTATTAAAATTACTTTCACTTGTTATTAACTATGGCTACTAAAATTGTAAATTATAATTTATAATTCTAGATGGTTCTATTGCACAGCACTGGCCTAACTTGTTAGCAGCTCACCAGTTCCTTCCCCTTTCCAAACTCCAGTGGCATCTGCTATCTCTCAACATGATGCATCTGTCTCAAACACCGTGCTAGGTCCTCCCACTTCTGGGAACTCTTCCTTCAGATAACCTCAACCTTTATTTCCTCACTTGTTTCTAATCTCCGCCAAAATTATCAAAAAGATGTTCTCCGACCAATCAATTTTGAACTGTCTCTTTCAGCACATGTATACTTAAACTATCCCTCTCTAGTTTTTGAAAACACTTACCATAAAACAGATTGTGTATTATTTATTTCTTTATTTGCACAAGTAACATTCCACACTCATTCAAATGTATGTGTGTGTACTCTACCCTTAGTAGAGTATAAGCCCCCTGAAGTTGTGGTCTGCATTGTTTATTTGTATTTCTTGATAACAGTACCCGGTTGATAGTAGAGACTAAACAAATATTTGTTAAATAAGTCAAAGAATAATATATAAAAACAAGATGATAGCAAATGTTTTTTATCATAAAGAAAAGTATTTGAGAACTAACATTCCCAGAGTGTGCAATAAACTAGACTCTGAGCTAAGCACTTACATTTAATATCTTAATACACCCGTGCAGAAATGTATTTACAGATAAGAAATCTAAAGCTCATGGAATTTAAAGAACTTTTCCAAGGTCACTTAACTAGCAGTGAATATCACTTCTATACCTTTTAGTTCATGTCCTCCTAGATTCTCAGACTAAACTACAAGCTCTTGTAAGTTCTCTCAGACTACTCAGGTTTTCCCTTCTATTATTTATCAGCATTGTAATCCACTTATGATGTTGTCTTCTGCAAAGTTTCCGGTGCTACAATATAAGCTTCACAGTGGTAGGAGGTAAACACTTTGTTGACATCTCCATGTCCACAGCCACCACCTTTGTCTAATGTTTAAGTATTTCACATATAAATTAACCAATGAAATTAACTTTCTCCTCAAATATTCTAAACAGTTCCAGAGTGGAGTATCTGTGCCCAGTGGGAGTTAACCATTTTATGGATCAGTGTCGTGAATGCACATATTAGAATGAAACCCAGCTGGTTACTGCAGTGCAGAGAGTGCTGGTGTGTAAGTGAACTATTTGCTCTTCACTACTGATCCTGTATAGTACAAATCCTGTGGAAATGTGCTGCTCGGCATCGTAGCACTTAGCCACGCGGCTATTTAAGTAAGAATAAATTGAAACTGAAAATCCATCTCTTCAATCACACTTGCCAGATTTCAGGCACTCAATAATTATACGTGGCTAGTGGCTTCCTTATTAAACTATTTCCATTATAGGAATCGTTCTATTAGGTTACACTGTCCTAGAAGACGTAACACGTTCTGGGAAAAAGGTACTTTTTAACCACAGGGGCTGTTTGGTTTGACTGATTTTGCATCTTAACTAAACTCCAACTCTGAGAAAGAGTCCAGTAATATGTACTCCCATGTGTCTCTGGGCAAGACCTAGACGTGGAAAAGGAGTTTCACTGCCCAGCAGATGAAGCGTTTAGTCAGACACGTTCATGCACAGCCAGTGACTGGTGTGGAAAGAACCACTCCTCCCAGGGCTCCGGGCAGCCCCACTGTTCCAGGGGTACTGCCAGCACCTTGCTGGATCCAGCCGTGATGTCCAACGCCATTCAATACCATCTTTTCGAGTTTGATGTAGAAAGCAGAAGACCGAACTGTGAACAGGAGGAAAAGACTTGGTATACCAGTTGCACCCCAGACTATCCTTAGATGTCCAACCTTGCAATGGAATTTGTAGAAGTTCCCTTCTTCAAAATGCTACACTTCAGCTGATTTTTTCACAAAGCAACTAACTCAAAATTAATTATTTTGCCCAATACAACTTCTTTGACACTGTTGCTGAAAAATTCCCTTCCTCATTTGAAATGTAAAATGTCTAATGCCACTGCCTTAGAATACACTTTATAGACAAGAATAAGAACCATCTTTGTCTTCTTTTCTGATTAAAGTCATTTGGGTAAGAACTCTCTCAGTTTGGGTTGTTACGGTATTTGCTCAGTTACCTAGCATCCTGCCAGCACACTGAGCGATTCAAGGGTGAAAATAGACCGTGGTTCTTACCTCCAGGCGCAGGCCACCAGGAGGGGAGCTGAGAGGGCCCATTCCGCAGCCCCACATTTCCCAACTCCACAGGTGAGGAACACTGGGCTTTTACTTTCTTTGGGGACCAAGCTTCCCCACACCTCATCAACCCCAGCCTTTCAGGAAGGTATTTCCAGTCTCTTCGGATTATCTTAAGAGACCCCGAGCTACGTTTGGGAACGCCCGGAGGGAGGATGAGAGAATCAGGCAGCAACAGGGCACGAGGCTGGGGCAGACGGCGAGTTCTGAAGTGAGCGGGACGAGGCGTGGAGAGAGAGAGCGCCGAGGGGCCGCGGTGAGTTTTAAGGCGAAAGGGACGAAAACTGCGAAAGTGGCCCACTGGACGACCTCGGCGGGGATGGGGAGGGGCGGGGTCCCTGCCGGACGCGCCGGGCAGAGGAGGAGAGTCGGCGCGCGGCGACTCTCGCCGGCGGGGGCCGAGCCCGGCCTGGGCGGATGGGGGCGGGGCGGGAC